ATGCATCACTTATATTATACATTAAAGCTATCCCATAATATATAACAAAATTGAGAAAGCATCATCTACCACTCAAAAAATACAAAGCCTTTTTCTAAAAGCCTGGATCACACCTTAAGTTTAAACCACTTGGAGTCTCTCCGGATGGTAAGTACCAGGTGCTCATTTCTGATTAGTATCTTGCCACAGTTAGTTGCTTCTCAAACTCACCCTGGAACTCATTTTCTGTCCCAAAGCGCACAAATTCTTCTTCCTCCTGTATTTCTGATCTCATATAAGGTCTCCACGATCTACCCAATCATGCAAGCCGGAAACCTGAAAGATCAATCTGGACTTGTCCCTCTCCTCCACTTCCAACTCCCAAACATCCTTCAAGTCAAACACCAAATCCTCATCAGCTCTCCCTCCGAAGGGTCTACTGTACCCGCACCGTCCGCTTCCTACCAGTGCATATTTCAAGCCCGGCATATCTCGCTGGCTCTGTCTCGAGTCTCACCACTCTGGAAGAAAACCTCCTGCACAAGCCTGCCACCAAAGGGACCTTCAGTACCAGACAGGATTTTGGAACGTCCAACATTATTTTGGGAAACATTCCTTCACTCTCTTTGAAACGTGTTCAAATAAGGACCCTCTCCATCTCCGCTCTTGGGTACAGTGTGCACGTGATCCCACACATGACCACGGTTCTCCATCCCCCAGTCACAGTGACTGATCCCGGGATAAGGACGCATCTCAAGTTGGGCCAATGAGCACCTTCCTCAGGACTTCTTACTGAAATAAGTTAAAAAGTGCACGTTTTTGCTGCGATCACTCGCTGTGAGAACAACATACCTTAAACTGGCGGTATTCATCTCTGCCACCATGTGCCTGAGAGTCAACCCTTAAAAAGAAAGGGAGCCGGGAGACCACGAGCAGGAGACACTGATGGTATTTTCCCAAAACTTCTTTGTTTCATATGCAAATACAGTAAAATTTTGGACTGCGAGGAACTTGCTCCACGAGTGTTCCGCAAGACAAGCAAACATTTCTAATAAATTTTAACTTGATAAATGAGTGATGTCTCGTAATACGAGTAGTATGTGACGCTGAATGTCACAAGATCACAAGTGAGCCAACGGTTCCTCTCTTTCTCACTGCGGGAATGTGGGTGATCGTCTCCCATGCTCAGAGCTCGGGTCTCAGGACGCAGTGTTTGGCAGAAATCACTGATTTTTCAGAACACTGGAAGGTACTCACAACTGGCATTACTGTATTTTTTGTCACTTCAAAGCACCTATGGACAGCCTTTCCAGACAAGAGTAAGCTCAGAAATGCTCTGCTTCATTCTAGGTCAGGCTGCCTTCAGACACAGACCCTCTCCTCTGCGGCCTTATCGCCAGTTACATTAAGTACAGTATATGACAAGAGTTTATTAATACCGTGCTGTGATTAACATCCACACGAGCGTATACAACAGCCCCCATGCAGAAAAAGATTCCACTGAACCAACCGATAGCAGTGATTCGTTGGTGGCAGTGAAAGTCGTCCTACACAATAACCCTCCTCTCTTGTCTCCCTCACACCAGCCACAAAGGTTTTCAAAGGTAAGTGCAGGTTCACTTGTTCGTTTTTCTTTGTATTTTGTACTTTATTATTTTGTTTTCTATTACAGTATTGTAATCATTTTTATAGGAATATTTTTGGGTTGTAGAACAAATCACCTGAGTTTCCATTATTTCTCATGGGGAAATTCACTTTCATACACAAATGCTTTAGATTACAAGCATGTTTCCAGAACAAGTTATGCTTGCAAACTAAGGTTTTACTGTAAATCTTTTCTTAAAAAAAAAAAATCAATTCAACTTTGGTTTTTGTTGCCTATCAAGTCTTACCACATTTCTCAACAATGAAATGGAATTCTCTAGCTCCACTATACCTGTGCGTGTACTGGTATGTTGTAAAAACATGCATACAGAGATATGTGTATACACACACACACCCCATACATAAAGATCACACACACAGATACATATATATTTGCTTACATTTTCAAAAAGTATCAATAGAAGAAAGCAAAATTAGTTCTAAGATAAACAACACAGTTTCAGGGGGTGCCTGGGTGTCTCAGTCAGTTAAGCATTCAACTTTGGCTCAAGTCATCATCTCATAGTTTGTGGGTTCGAGCCCCTCATCGGGCTCTGTGCTGGCAGTGCAGAGCCTGCTTGGGATTCTCTCACTCCTTCTCTTTCTGTCCTTCTTCCCACTTGCACGGCAGTGCATGCTCTCTCAAAATAAATAAACTTAAAAAAAAGAATAAAAATATATATTTATAAAAATGCTATTAAAAACAAGAGGTTGTTTTCAATTAAAAGATGTTACAAGAATATCAACCAAATGTGATGTATAGACCTTACATGGATCCTGAGCCAAACAAACCAACTATAAAGACACTTTTGAGACAACTAAAGAACAGTGAACCTCCACTGGGCATTAGATGATCTATTAATTCTGTTAGGTGATGATGGCATTATATTATGTATTTTTACATATGTATTGTTATGTATTTTTTAAAGCTTATAACTTTTAATCTAGAGATTTCCCTCTTTTTTTTAAGTTTATTTATTTTGAGAGAGAGAGAGAGAGAGAGAGAGAGAGAGAGAGAGAGAGAGAGGAAATCCCAAGCAGGCTCCACGCTGCCAGCACAGAGCCCAATGCAGGGCTTGAACCCATGAACTTCAAGACCATGACTTGAGCTGAAATCAAGAGTTGGACACTCAAACAACTGAGCTACCCAGGCATCCCACTCCCTCTTTTTCTGAAACACTGTCTATTATGTATCTGTCTCATAGAAGTGCCCAGGTGTCATTTTAAATAATCCTTTATCCCTCATTTTTTTGTGAACTGGTTATTACAATTAGAAACTTGTAATTCAAGGGGCTCCTGGGTGGCTCAGTCAGTTAAGCGTCTGACTTTGGCTCAGGTCATGATCTCATAGTTTGTGAGTTCAAGCCCCACATCAGGCTCTGTGCTGACAGCTCGGAGACTGGAGCCTGCTTCTGATTCTGTGTCTCCTTATCTCTCTGCTCCTCCCCTATTCACGCTGTCTCTCTCTCTCTCTCTCCTCTCAAAAATAAATAAACATTAAAAAATTAAAAAAAAAAAAGAAGCCTGTAATTCAGGATCAATATCTTTAGCAAGAATATTCCATAGGTGGCACTTTGTATTTCTTATATATAGTTCTGTTGCCAAGAACACCCTTCTCCCTTTTGTCCTGAAAAACATTTACTATCTTTTAAGACTTGGCTCAGATGTCACCTCCTTCAGAAAAACCTCTTTACCCTCCAGTCCCCACTAAGCCAGCTTTCTCTACTAATCCAATAGCTAACCCTAATGGCACTGGACCTGCTTACCCACCTGTTGCCCCAATCAGGCTGTGAACGCCTTTAACAATGGACTAGTCTGCAGGACTGGACTCCACAGAGACCTAAAGCCTAAGTGGGTGAAGTTCCAGGAAAGTAATCTTCACCAAGTAAACACATCGGATCACGTCCTTGTGTTACGGCCCATCCATCTGTACCTGGTAAGCAAGCAGGCACAAAGCCAGGGTCTCCAAGGTAATGGAAGGAATAATGTTCAGAAGGAATAAGACGCCCTGGGAATATCAAAGGGAGTGTCCTGGCACCTGGCAGATTTCCTTACTGTTTGTAAACACAATCATAGGCAGCTATAGGTCTCAACAGGGAACTTACAGAAGCGCTGCTCTAACCGGAAGGTGCATACAAATCACCTGGAGACCTGATTCAAAATGCAGATTCTAGGGGCGCCTGGGTGGCTCAGTCGGTTAAGCGTCCGACTTCGGCTCAGGTCATTATCTCGCAGTCTGTGGGTTCGAGCCCCGCGTCGGGCTCTGTGCTGACAGCTCGGAGCCTGGAGCCTGCTTCAGATTCTGTGTCTCCCTCTTTCTCTGACCCTTCCCTGTTCATGCTCTCTCTCTCTCTGTCTCAAAAATAAATAAATGTTAAAAAAAAAAATGCAGATTCTAATTCAGCAGGGCTGCAGGGAGACCCCAGATTCTGCATTCCAGGTGGATTCTGTTGGTTTGCAGACCACTCTTCAACTAGGTAAGGTTCTAAGAGACCTAGCAGTCAGCCCTCTCTCAGGGAAATTACAGCATTAACTCCTGTCTTACTAATCCTCTCTTTTAAGCTAAAACCGTCTGTGTCATTAAAAAGCAAATGAGGGGCGCCTGGGTGGCACAGTCGGTTAAGCGTCCGACTTCAGCCAGGTCGCGATCTCGCGGTCCGTGAGTTCGAGCCCCGCGTCGGGCTCTGGGCTGATGGCTCAGAGCCTGGAGCCTGTTTCCGATTCTGTGTCTCCCTCTCTCTCTGCCCCTTCCCTGTTCATGCTCTGTCTCTCTCTGTCCCAAAAATAAATAAACGTTGAAAAAAGCAAATGAAAAAAAAAATCAAAATTTAATTCTTCCACATCTCTTGGCATCTTTCTTCTAATATATCCACTCCTCTTTGACAATTACACAATTTCTCATTCATCTAAGTATCTCCAGCCTGGAAACTATAAGCCCTCAATAAATGCTTTAAATGATGTTCCATATAATCTCAACGTATTTCGTTGTTTTCCACTGGCTTGTTTACATAGGTTTGTTCACTGGCCCATCTTTCCCATTTGATTAACAACTCCTCAAAGGCACAGACTCTCCCCTTTGTGCCATGGCACACAGTCTGTCACCTAACCAGCACTCAGTGATGTTTGCTGACTTAGCCAGATGACTGGGAACACGTTACATTAGGTTCTTAGAGACAACACTGAATAAGAACCTATCCTTCTTCCTGGGGGACTTACGTACTCACAGATAGAACCTGTTTTCACAAAAGTTTAGTGACATACACTGAAAAGGATGATCGGCTCTACTTAACAAATAAGAAAACAGCAAAACAAAGTTCGATGTTATGCTTCTTCAGACAGCCTCATCAAGATAGGAAAAAACGTTTAACAAAAGGTACCTCAGTCTTCCCACACTCATCGGGCGGGTCCTGGTGTATGGCCATTTGATACTTGACATATAGAGAAAATGACCGGCTGAAGGACGACTTGAACTCTGGGTCCTCAAAGGAGACAGGTACTAACCTCACCTTCAGAGCAAGGAAGATACAAGCAAATGCTATTGAAACATCTCTACCTGATGATATGCTTCTGAAGGTGAGGCTAGAGTAAGATCTCCGCAAATCCACTTCCAAAGCTCAGCGCTGTTATTTCTCATGAAATGAACGAACCCTGGAGCGTGCTGATTGGCACAGAGCCTCAAGCACTAACTTTACACTAACACTTAGGAAATTTTTAACTCATATGGACCAGGACAAATTTTTTTTTTTTTTTTTTTACTTTTTCACTCTTTCCACCTGTTGTGGTTCTCTGCATAGAGTCACAATGTTGCTCATAAGGGTCACTACTTTTGTCTCCTCTATTTGTATTAAGTGTTTTAAGATTCTTCCCCTTCCACATTTTTCTTGGGTAAGTAGATTTATAAAATGATAAGCATATGTGAACTTCTATTAAAATATTCTATTATCTCAAAAAAAATTCTACTATCTTACTTTCTAATTCCACTCTATCCTGTATGGGTAGTACATCAATAAAGAATAATTTAGCTGTTATGAACTCCGTTTATACGTGACTTTTACATGCAGATAAAGCATATTAACCGTGTTGTTCAAAGTATGCCTATCATAAAAATTAGAGTTCTATTTATTACTAATTTTTAGATAAATACATCTAAATATCGTTACTTCAAATAAAGATAACTCATTTTACGTGTTACTTTCCACTTTGAAATTACACATGACGGGCACTCAACACGTGCTAGGTAAAATTTGCACTTTCAGAATGTCCATTAATCCACAGTCCTATCATATTGCAGATATGCTGCAAATTGAATACAAATAAAATGTACCACAAATAAACCAAGTTTTCATACAATGATATCAAATGGAGGGGAAAGTTCCATTTGCACAAAAAAATTGCACTTGGCCTGCTGACCTGGCTCACAGTTGGCTTATCAGGTGGATCCTTGTGAATAACCATCTGGTAACGTTTATAGACCTGGTAAGACTCCTGAAATGTGGCTTTGAACTGAGAACTTGGTGGAGATGATCTCACCACCCTCACCTTCAGAAGGAGTTAAAAAAACAATGTTCATTAATTATTTATTCCACAGAACATGCATTAGAACAGTTACTCCCGCCCAAAAAGAACCAAATGTTTCCACACAAATATTAAAGCATAAACAATGATAGTATTTTAACACTGAAAATCAACCAGATAGTAAATTTTTTTTAAAAGCGATTTCTCCAACTTACAGACTCATTAAAAAGGAGGAGGATTCGAAGACTAAGGTCTATGACCGAATCACAGAAGATGGACTCTATGGTAAAATGGCAGAATGCTTCTGGCACTCCAGAAGCAAACACAAATAAATACTTTTTTCGCTGCATGCAACCCACCTTCAGTAAACCAGTCAGAAAGACAAAAATATGTGAACACATTTTTTAGACGCTCTTCATGCATCACTGCTAACTCTAAATTTACAAATTTTTTTGTAAGGGTGAAAGACAACCCTCACAAAGCATTCGTACTTCATGGCAGAGTTAAGAATGAAGATTCTAGGGGCGCCTGGGTGGCGCAGTCGGTTAAGCGTCCGACCTCAGCCAGGTCACCATCTCGCGGTCCGTGAGTTCGAGCCCCGCGTCAGGCTCTGGGCTGATGGCTCGGAGCCTGGAGCCTGTTTCCGATTCTGTGTCTCCCTCTCTCTCTGCCCCTCCCCCGTTCATGCTCTCTCTCTGTCCCAAAAATAAAAATAAAAAACGTTGAAAAAAAAAAAAAAAAGAATGAAGATTCTAAAGTTAAATTTCTTCTACTCAAATTTTAACGTCACCATCTTGGGTCAAGTAAATAAATGTATTCTCTGTGCCTTAGTTTCCTCATACGTAAAATGAGGAGGAGTTAAAAACCGTAATTATACAGTAAAGTCGATTTATTTTAACATCAACCATTTACTAACCAGTTAAAATGTGTTAGCAAAACAGAATAATAAAACAGAAAATCGAGTGCAATAAAAAAGGCTAAGTAGAAAATTTTCATGTGTGCCATAAGAAGTAATTCTTCTCCAAAAAAAGAGGGTCATCCAGTGGACAAAAAAATCTCTGCCCATCCTAGCTATCATTACACTAAAAAATTAAAAAGCCTCCTACTGTACAACATGTTAGATGGGCCTGGTGCCCTGAACACATTACTATTTATGATCACAAGAGAAAAGACTCCTCTTAAAATACGTTAAGTAGTGGGTTCAATTCTTTTTAATTTGGGAAGGAGAAAGTGTCAATACCAAAATCAGAACAGCTAAGGAATTATAACAGAGTTAAGACTTAAGTCTAATAATATATAGCATCCTAAGGCTTAGATTGCATTAAAGCTAATTTCTTAATAGCAGGTCCTTAGTGATACACTTAGACAATATTAATCTATAAATTCAAAGGCTACCCAGTTACTGATGAGAATAAAATTATTATCGTTAATGTTTTAGGGGAAAAAAATGAATACCAAATACCGAAAAATGTACACTTAATCTGAAATGTAAGTCAAAAATAATAGGAATACTCTAAAAGTATTCGTATTATGCCTATATTGGTTTGAGAGAATTACTGAGAAAGGACTGTAGTAGTACAACTTAGTACTATTTAGTTAATTCCTAATTGCTGGCTTGCATATGTAATACAATTTGTTGCCTTGGTCAAGATCAGAATATTAGAATGGATAAAAAACAAAGATTTGCCTACTGTGATTTCCTTCACTATCTAACCAAAACTGCCAAAAAATGAAATTTACATAGTATATTTTATCTCTTTCGCTACTAAATTTCAATCAAGGGATACAAAAAGCCAGAGTCCCCTGCATAGTAACATGCTAAAACTGGAACTGTTTTCCCAACTTTAGTAGCCAAATTGCCTAAAATATTTATTTTAAATCTTAAAAAAAGGTGGGGGGGGGGTTTCTCAAGTAGCAATTAACTTAGCAAACACAAATGCTACTCCATCCCAATTCACTTTAATTTCCCATTATTTAAACAGCAAAATATCACCTGGTGAGTATAACCTTAAATGAAAATAAATAAAGTACCCACCAACAACAAAATAAAATAAAACACCCTCCAAAGTACCTCCAACTTGTGTGATGCATTCTCTGGTAAAGATTCAAAAATTAAATCTTCGAGCGATTTGGGCTGGTTGGATTTATTAGCCTTTGGTGGGAGCAAAGACGGTGGTTCACCCTGAGCCTGGAAACCCTCAAGTTCTCCAGCCGGGTTCTGCTGCATCAGTTTTAACCTTTTCCTTTCTTTCCGGATTTCCTTTGCTTTTCGACAGGGAGGCTTACTCAAATCTGCTCCTTTGCCTAAAAACAATTTCAAAATATTAGACCACTCACATTTGACTCAAGAAATGTTTTTTTCAAGTCTCAAAGATTCTACAGAATTAGGCCCAAAGCATTTCAACAGTTAGGTTAGCTTTGTAGGTGGATTCTCCAGAAGATTCTGGTGTAGAGCTCTAAGTTATCTTACAATCTTATCTTAGAAGCAGGAACTGTCAAAGAAAATAAACAGTCACAGAAACTTTTCAGGCAGCTTTTACTGGTGAAAATTCAAAAACAATTTTTTTTTAATATTCATCCACTTCTCTGTCTTTATAAGTAGAAAAAAACATAATCAATTATCTTCTGCTTCAGGACATGAATGTTTCCAGCACATTTCTGAGGGACATTTCTCTCAAAGCACTTGTGACATAAATAAACGCTTAGGACCTGGGTGTAAATGAATACTGATCCCAGAAAACACTCTGGCAGGTTTTTTAATGAAAAAATACTCTTGCTTAGTTGAAGGGATCTGTGTCTCTCCATCTAACTGAGGGGCCTCATTAGCTCAGCTCAGTTAATGACAGTTTTTGTTTGAATTAAAAGAGCAAGTATCAGACTGAAAGGCCTTAAAGATATAAAAATTTTTTAACTAAAATAGGGGCGCCTGGGTGGCTTAGTCGGTTAAGCATCTGACTCTTGATTTCGGCTCCGGTCATGATCTCACGGTTCATGGGACTGAGCCCTGGGATTGAGCCAGCAGTACAGAGCCTACCTGGGATTCTCTCTCTTTCCTCTCTCTCTGTCCCTCCCTTGCTTGTGCACTCTCTCTCAAAATAAGTAAACTTAAATAAATAAATAAATAAATAAATACATAAATAAATATTTTAACTACAATAAACCACAAATTTTAGTGAGTGCCTTTTCATCCAGTAAGTTGTCTTTAAGGACTCTGTGCTGAAAAAATCAAGAGCTAGAGGCAAATAATGAACACACCTGAAAACTTCAGTATCATTTAAATGCCCAATAGAATAATTATATAATTTTCATTTTATTCTCACTTTCTTAAGTAGACTCCACACCCAACATGGGGCTTGAACTCATGACCCTGAGATCAAGAGTCACGTGCTCTACTGACTGCCCCCCCCCTACAAATGTTTAAAACAGCTAAGCAACAGAATATCAAAAAGTCATTAGAAATGCTTCAGAAATTTTCAGGGATTTGTCATTACACAAGGTTAAAAAAGATTTCCAATTATTTACAAATAGATACACAAAAAATATTTATTAAAATGCCTGAAAAGAAATATACCACCATGTTAACAGTCAAAGAAAGGACTTTTCTTGCTCTTTTCCCTGCAGTGTTCTCTTTTCTTCAAATTCTCTAACGATGAACATACCATTGTAAATTTTTCAGCTATTAACAAAATAAAGAAAAATGCTACTTTAAGTTCCTAAAACACATATTTACAAATCATACAAAAGTAAGCAATAGGAAGTTTTACAAGACCAGCAAGTTTAATTTTATAGAAAAGAAAATTAAGACCCAGTGTGTTAAGAGACTTGCTAGAGACCAAGAGCTGGTCAAAAAAAATTAATCTGAGGAGAAAATAGTTCATTCATAGTGAAACCATATTACGACTTCACTAACATGTTTTCCAAATAAAAACAAAATCTACCCATAAAAGAAGACTCTGAATAAGTTTAACAACCAGGCAACAAAAGACTTGACTCTATAATTAACCATTACTGCCTTAGAGAATTAATTTTCTTTGGCCAGGGAATGTGTCTTCCTCAAATTTGTTCACAGAGGCACAACAGCATTTGGTTAAGAGCATACACTCTGACATGGGCCGCAAGAGGTCATCCCTGTCTCTCGGCTAGCTGACTTTAGGCAACATTACTTGTCTATACAAGGAAGACAATAACCAGTCTTACCTTTGGAGTTCCATGAGAATTAAATGAGTTAATACATGTGTAGCTCATAGAACAATACCTACTATTTAACTGGGGTCTTCTATTATTATTAGCTATTATATGCATCACCAATTCCTACAATGGTTCACCTATTTAGGCATTTCCATAAATGGTAATAAGGCAGAAAAGAAACATTCTCTAGAGTGAACTGAGAAACAAGTTTTCACCATTTTTATGAAAGATCACCTATGTCGGCTTTGCATTAACTGATTCATTGGACTAAGCAATCCTTCTTGTGGTTGTTTTACTCTACACGTATGTACTATCATGATATGAACTGCAGAGGATAGTAAATTAGGATTTCAGCTTATTTATGGGACTAAAGATCTCCCCAAAGCAAGAAGTTCCTTCAATGGAACAGAAACAGATCAATATAAAATCACTGCACCGTACCAACCCAGCACCCACAGATGTTCAAACCACTCAAGGATCCTAAATTAGTCCCAAGAGTTTTGAAAAGAGTTCAGTAGACCTGCATAATTCCTAATTAAGTTTCAGGAAATATACCTCTAATATTTTGTAAATAAAATGGAAATGTGTGTTTCTAGACAAAATCCAAAGCCTCCTACATTTTAAAATAATCTCACATTTTTATTGAAAAATATAAAAGGAAAATAAGTGCAAACTTTTTTTAATGTTCCAGTAATCATACTGCTGAAGAAGTTAGTTTTGTTATTATAAAACTGTTGTGTAATGTAGGGTAAAGCAAATGGGTAACTGTGATATTCTAATTCTACTCTTCTCCGTGTCCTTGAGAGCAAGGTTTCTAAGTGTGGAAGAAAGAAGATCCAATGTCAAACAAGCAAACAAACACGTAAAAATACTAACAGTCCTGAATTTGAATTGGAAATATCAATATGACCACACGACCTACTAAGTCTGTTCATGGAAAAAGCCTAGAAAACAATAACCAAGCCAGTAACAATAGTGGTCACCTCTGGTCTAGTCGGTGATCTTCAAATGCCATTTTCCACTAAAAGAAACCAGGGCTTCTTGGGGAAATGGCTGTACAAGACGATCCAGGAGCATCATGTCATAGAAAGCTGCTAAGACTACCAACATTTTATCAAACAAACCAGAAGCCAACTTAGAGAAACTCCCACAGGAGCAAAGAATTAAAACACGGCAAATGTGTTTAAAACTCACTGTTAGAAGAGGTTATTTTGTAAAATGGATGACACAAAATGAAAGAATCAAGAATTCCTCTTGCCTTTGCTGGGAGTTCTTATGGGAGACAAGTAGATGAGGAGAAGGTTCTGTTTATGGAAGTATCCAGTTAGTAAATGAAAAATGAATTACAGACTTAAAATATCTAATGGATAAACGGATTTAGGCATTGAGCATTGGTCCACAGCTACTAGCATTAACAGAAAGAGAGGCACCCGGACATTATGTGTCTCCTGAAAGAACATCTCACCACCTGTGAACTAACCTTACCCATCCTCAAATAAATAACTGGAACTCCAATCTGATGAAGACTTCTCCCTCTCCAAAAAGGCAAAAGAAAACCAAAATGCCAAAAGACAAAAAAAAAAAAAACAAAAACAAAAAACAATTTAATCTTGAATCTGATCAAGGCTCTACATCCAACTATCAATTTACAGGCAGGTACGGCAACATGTTAAACTGCACTATAGATTAACTGTCGGTCAAATAACCCAGGTCAAACAACCCAGTTTCTTCAACAAATAAAGTGCAAATAAAAAGGTTGGAGTAATGAAAGATCTACTGAGATTTTTTAACTATAGCAACCAACTGCAATATGTGGCCATATTTGGATCCTGATGCAAACAAATACTTAAAAACTGGAAACTTTAACACTGAATATTCAGTATCATTACGGAATTTTACTTAGGTGTAATAATGCTATTGTGAGTATGTATCTGAAAGTTCTAATCTTATAGAGATGCAAAATGAAGTTTTTAAAAATGTAATAAACTGTAATTTTTATAATAAACAACTGAAATAATAAAAGAACTGGCCCTATCACCTAAGACAGTAAGAGATGTAAGAAATTTATCTAAACCATTCAGAATATTTTATTGGACTATTCTTACTAGTTAGGATGAAATCTCAGGTTGACATCCAATGAAATGCCATGAAAGCCTTGCGTGAAAATACCTATTCAAAAAAAAATGCAAAATGGGGCACCTGGGTGGCTCAGTTGGATAAGCATCCAACTTCGGCTCAGGTCATGATCTCATGTTTCATGAGTTCAAGCCCTGCATCAGGCTCTCTGATGTCTATGCAGAGCCTGCGTCAGATCCTCGGTCTCCATCTCTGCCCCACTTGCACTCTCTCTACCCCTGCCAAAATAAATAGAGGTCTAAAAAAAATCCAAAACAAAGTTTTCTGTGCATTAATATGATTTAGACAAGAAAAACTGTAATAGTAATAAAAATCTCTCCTTTGGATCATTCTGTGTAAATAAATATAAGAATTCAGGAACTGAAACATAAACATCTAAATTGACATTTTATGAAATAATGTTTTTTTTAAAATCATACAGGGGGTGGGGTGCCTGGGTAGCTCAGTCAGTTAAGCATCCGACTTCAGCTCAGGTCATGATCTCACAGTTTGTGGGTTCGAGCCCCACATGGGGCTCTGTGCTGACAGCTTGCTCAGAGCCTGGAGCCTGCTTTGGATTCTATGTCTCCTCTCTCTGTCCCTTCCCTGCTGGCGCCCTATCTCTTTCTGTCTCTCAAAAATAAATAAATGTTAAAAAAAAATTTTTTTTAATCACACAGGGGTGCCTGGGTGGTTCAGTTGGTTAAGCATCTGAGTCCTGATTTCAGCTCAGGTCATGATCTCACAGTTTGTGAGACTGAGCCCCGCATGGGGCTCTGCACTGACAGTGCGGAGCCTGCTTGGGATTCTCTTTCTCTTTCTGCCCCTCCCCCGACAAATTAAAAAAATAAATGAACATTTAAAAAAATAAACATTTTTAAAAGTAAATACAGAAAAAAGAAAAATTTAAAAATCATACAAACACATGCACACACACACAAATAAACCCATTTAAAGTTGGATAAAATTTTAAAACCTAAGTATTTTACAAGTGAAAATATAGAAAAAAATCTGACCTTACTAAAGGTGAAGTAAAATATCAAAATCTGAAAATTTTTAAACTAAAATTCATTATGATTACATAAAGAAATCTAATAATAAACTAAAGACCTTTATAATGTCTGTACTTTGAACATAATACCTAAAATGTACTTTGTCTTACTTCACACAAAAATAAAAATGTTTAGCACCACATCCTTGCACAGATAAAAATGCGATTCTCAAACTCTAAGTTCCTAGGGTAGTAAGAAATGGCACTCTTTAAAAATATGTGTATTGGGAGATAATGAAACTATTATTTCAGGCTTTTTAAAAATAGCAGTTTTTAAAATATGTGATTTGTCCATCTAAATCCAGGCAATAATAAGTTGTACAAAACAGGGATTTTACAGATTTCATACACAACTCTATTTTTAGCTGATGAGAGAGCCCAAGGGCTACAATGTTCCAAGCACAAAGAAAATCATCAGGACTTTAAAAAGGCCACAGAGCAAACTTGCCCTACCTGGCTTAGGAGCCATGGGCATTTTAACCGGATGTGATGGCTCACCAGAGCCCAACTTCTCCTCTATATCTTGTGACTGAATGAATTCATTAGATTCTCCCTTCTTTGGGCTTTTTCCTTTCTTCTTTTCTTCACTGTCAAAGCTCTCTGTGAGGTCACCGCTGAGCGTTTTAAGGTCACACTGTATATCCAATTTATTTATTAATCCAAAGTCACCAGCAACGGTGTCCTCCATGGTGGGCTCCATAGGATCATCTACAAATCAGAAAAAATCAAAGTCTATCAGCCATGCCATCTGACGCAATTAAGATACACGTAGTAAAAACAAAACGCCCCTTTTTTCTGATGTGGTCGAGACTACGGTGTGTGCATCAGGTCCATTCTCCCACCTTCCAAAGTAACAGGGCTATAGTTAAGACTGTGGCACCCAAGCAAGGGAATGCACCCCAGTCCATCTGCAAGTTGTGACCAAGTTCCCACCAGTGGAACAGAACCAAAACTGATAGGTTCAACTTGGCCTCACTTGTTTCTAAAGATAATTTGTAACCCTGAACTTCCACCCCTCCTCTCCCCACTGACTGGATTAGTAAAAACCAGCGTGAGCTTGGAAACTACATGTTGAAGGGAGTCCCAGAATGGCTGGGGGGGGGCAGAGCAGACTGTAGGCTAATGTGAAACACCCACAATGGGCTGTCACACTAGGAAACAAACAGACTTCTAGCATTTGTTAGTCATTGCATGCTGGTGTCTTTTTCTTATAGCTATTTACCCTTCTACTCTAATGAGTATATCGCTCCTCTAAGTTACAAACATAAATAATTTAGAAGTCTGTAACAAGTCAAATAAAGAACCAAATGTAAAAGCTATGTATAAAGACAGGCAATCATCAATTTATAAATGGAAGGCACCTCAAGGCTTATCTGAATATTAATTTTTGAAACTCAGAACATGATTTTCAGCCACTGAAATAACTTTTTGACAACCAACAAAATGTATTTAGTTTTTAAGACCATGTACAGACAATACTAATCAGACATCTACCAAAGTTCTGATGTCCCCAATGCCCAATTGTCCCTGAACCTCTAGACCCTGTAAGCCTTCCAGGCTTTTTTGTTGCCCACAGCTCTGCCAAGTCTGCTCCATGATGTCCTGAGTTTTAATCCGTTAAGGACAGTGCCCAAGGGCGAAGAACTTCCCTGGCCTGCTGGCCACTGTATCGCCAGTGCTTAAAACAGGGACTGGCACATTGTGGGCACGGAAAACATACTTGGGGATGTATTAACAAGCTAAAAGTGTTAACAAGTTAACAAGTTAAAAGTTAACAAGTTAAAAGTGAGGAAGGCTCCCAGGGTTGGACACTTCCTAGGGCAGATGTGAGAAAGAGCTCTAACAACAGCTGGCATTCCCAATTATGCTCATCGATTAGGCATGGCCTAGAGGAAAACTTTTAAAAAAGAAAAGACAAGATACTGAAACAACTGAAAAAGGAAGTATCTGTAAACCAAAGTTAATTTCTTTTAGGAAACGGACTCACAATTCAAAGTTTATCATACAAAAAAGAAAATTTCAGGCAATATAATGATTTACTGAAGGGCTTCCTCAAAGAAAAGCTGGGCTTCACTCAGCAATCAAAGTGGTTGTGTAGTCTTGTGCAAGGGGTACCTAAGCATCTGTTTCTCAGACATTCTACCACTTTCTCTGTACTTCACAAGGTATTATTAGGACCAAGTTGTCAAAGTACTGTGAAAGCTTAAGCTCTAATAAACTCCAGGAAATCACAAGAGCTGTAAAACTTTCCTACATTTTCCCTTTCCCTGACAGACATTCCTCATACCCTTGACCGTCAGGCCAATGGCAACAGTACCAGCAGCACTATCCCTACTTCAGAAAGAGCCAGAAGGGAGAACCTTGGAAATCAACATCAATATAAAGAGTTTTTAGACCCAATCTCATCTTACCCTCATAATTTCCTTTGGAAATTTCCCCTTTGGCCAGAAATTTCAACATTTTTTTCAAAACCTTCTTGTGTGATTTTGATGGCTGAAACTGTAAAGGTCGGCACCTAGGAAAGCAAAACAAATATCCAAAAAGTGAACTCAAACCATGAAGAAATAAAATGAGTTCTGGATAGTATCTAGTACAGTGAGGCAAACTTCATGCCTGGGATTTCTGGGTAAAGACAGGGCTTGATGTAGCCTCTAATCCCAACCCCAAATCTCACTAAAAAACTACATTAAGGAATTAGAAAAAAAGAAAAAGACATGAATCACTGGGGAAAAAAAAAGAGAAATGTTGGAAGCTGGATAGCACAGGTATAAGTAGTAACTGACTTCGTAGATCAAAGAATGTTAAATCCTAAGCCAAGAGTGTTGAAAAGCCAGAAAGACAACCAATTCTCTCTACATTACCCCTAAAAGTTTTAGATACCTGATACCTCAGCAGATAAGTGTGAAGGCGGGTCTAAAAATAGAAAATCTCTTGAAAGTCTGTTTTGGAAGCAGTTAGATGTCTGATGCCCTCCCCACTCCTCCCCACACAACTCCCTACACAACCCAGAAGAAAGTTGCAAACTTAGAAAAGAAAAAAACAAAAACAAAAAAACAGGGCCTCCTACATGAGGATACAAGCACAGTGGAAAGCAATGGAACTGGACTAGAAAAAGAAAGTCTAAAGTCTACATCCTGAATGTTGAGACTTCCAAGCCACTTCCCCAACCCAGCCACAAAACCTGGCACTTTCTCTCCAGAATGTGATCAGACCCCAAGATACTGTCCTCAGGCACTCTCCACTGTAAAGTGAGAATCACCAGATACTTGGAGAGAAACTCTACAAAGACACGTTGCCAAAAACACTGGAGAAGGTAACTAGGAAGACACAGAGTACAGAGGAAGGAGAGAGCCCCAAAAATAAAAATATCCTCAGAACACTCTCTTATTTCTCTTTGGCTATTACAGCCACACAACAATGGGAGGTTACAAAACAATAGAGAGTGTCCAAAAAGAAAAATCTCCCAGAAGAAAAAGTATAACAGAAAAAGTTAAAATTTAAACAAGACTTGGAAAATAAAGTTGAGGAAATCTTCCAAAAGATACAGCAAAAGGGATGGAAAACTGAAGAGAAAAAAAATTAGAGGATCACTCTAATTTTTAATTATTTTGAAATTAATGTTTAAGTTCAATAACTGAATAAAAACATTATCAGCAGTTATAATGGAATAGAAGAAAGAAAATGGAGGGAAGAAGACCAACAAAATAAAGAAAATGTCCGTGAAGTGAACAATAATGGTGGGAGGAGGTCCCAGGTAAGAAGGGCCACATAAGTCCATGTGTAATGGATGCAAACAGACACTGCCAAACAGAAAACATCAGAACACAGGGAACAAAAAATCCTTCCCCAAAATAAGAACATTCTGCACAAAGGAACAGGGATCAGAAGACTACCTGACTTAATAGCAGTAAGACAATGGAGCAAAGCCTTCAAAATTTTAAAGCAAAATTATTTCCCATCTACACTTCTATATCCCAGCCAAACTATAAGTTCGAGTAGAGAATTAAAACATTTTCAAGTGTACAATGTCTAAAAAGTACTTCTCGTGCACTCTTCCTCAGAAAGCTATTAAACGTGCTTCACGAAAATGAGGAAATAATCCAAGAAAGAGAGGTCAGGAAATAGGAGACACGGGATTCAACAAGAAATCCAAAGAGAATCCCCACGATGGCAGTAAAAAGAGATCCCAGGGTGACAGTGATGCAGGAGTTGTAGAGAAAACCTGTCCAGATCAGAGCACGTCAGAAGACAACACAGAGATATTCATCGAGAACATAAAAGCAATAGAGTACCTGAAGCATCTGGAAGTACCAAGACGACATTTACACTACTGTGGAAGCATTTCTAAATCAACTGGTGATGGGTACGTAAAAGGCGATGTGAACACAGAAGACAATTATCAATTCCATGGAAAGCAAAAACTTGTACAGGAAAGAAAAATCATAGCACACTACATGACTCAACTGTAAAGCGTATTTATAGGTCATAACAAAGGGATTACGCCTATTTTTTTTTTTTTAATTTTTTTTTTCAACGTTTATTTATTTTTGGGACAGAGAGAGACAGAGCATGAACAGGGGAGGGGCAGAGAGAGAGGAAGACACAGAATCAGAAACAGGCTCCAGGCTCTGAGCCATCAGCCCAGAGCCTGACGCGGGGCTCGAACTCACGGACCGCGAGATCGTGACCTGGCTGAAGTCGGACGCTTAACCGACTGCGCCACCCAGGCGCCCCGGATTACGCCTATTTAAAATTACACTACTTCTAAGCTGGGAAGTTGACAATGAGGACAAAAAGGAGCTTGAATGTGACAAGGGAACAGGGATGAAATAAAGTTAAGTCCTTATCTTTCAGAGACAGAAACCCAGAGATAGAAAAAATAAAGTTGAATCCTTATTTCTGAGAGAGAAACACAGAGATAATGAGAAAAACCCAAAGATAAGGATATATAGTTATATAAGCATCTCAAGTAAAGGTGGAAAGAAGGAAAAACAAAAGAATCCGTTAAAAAATTTGAGTGTGCACTGTACTGGGAAAGCGGAAACAAGAAGGCTCAGGGGACTGCAATTCTGCAAAATACATTTTATGGAATGTTTGATTTTTTAATTATTAGCATATAATTCTACATAAAAATAAAAACTAAAAAAAAAAAAAATCATAGTCAAGGAAGCTCATCCTCATTTAAACTCACATACTGGGCAGCCCCTGACCTCTATCTAACAAGAAGTTACGTTGTAGGTTATAAACACCTTGCCTTTACATTAGGTCTTATTGTAACTATTGTAGTCCACAAAGTAAAAAAAAAAAAAACAAAAAAACCCAGAAGAGTAAATATGCAAAATGACTCCATAGTATCATCATATTTAACGAAGTTGTATAGAGGATAACAATTCAGGAAATGTTTGATTTCATGCAAAAAATCACATTTTATAATTATTCTGTTTTGCAATGTTAATTGAATCCCTTTTCATAAAAGCAATCAATGTACCTGGAACAGTGCTTGGCACTGAGAGGCACCCAATAAATTATAGAAGCTTCTTCTTTTTTCTTTAACCCACTGAAATTGACCTTTTCTGATTAGAAAGTATCAGGATTCAAGCCGATCAGCTCCAGACTTAATTTAAACAGAATCCTGGCCATAATCCAATAACAAATTGCTATTTGAAGGAAAAGGACTTCTGCCTCTGACGATGTCACTGCTTCATAACCACTAAAACTGAAAGAGGACAGCACAATTCTGTCATTGTATTCTTTGTATAAGTGAGACGGTGTCACCAAACCAGACAGCCACCTCTTCTCTCTACTGCCCAGTCCTATGACCAGTTAGATAAGAGAATGGATTCTTAACCAGGAATCAGTGGAACTTCGGGAGTCTATGGTCATCCTAAAATTAATATGCAAAATGTTACGTATTCTTGCCTCCAGGCCCCTCTCCCTTTTGTTCTGTTGCAGAGAGGATCTAGAACTTTTCATCAGATTGTCAAAACAGTCTTCAACCCCAAAACAAATTAAGAGATGGGACAGAAATGTGAAGACCAGCCAAAACATGATGGATACAACTATGTTTGCTTTTTTTATCTAGAGAATATATTTACATTGAAACCGTACTCAAATGCTTAACAACGATAATATGCTTTCTCTTTTTTCTACCAGAAGAGGAAGGCAAGGAGGACAACAAGGGAGAAGAGGAGGACCTTTAGAACCTGAGAAGGTTAAATCCTTCCATGTTATGCTGGGGTTTGCTGGTTAAGCAAACACTCTGCAGGAAAACAGACTTTCTAGCTTAAGTTTTACAATGAAGAAAACAACTCTGAATACATGTGGCAGATTAAATGTCAGCCCCGCCCCTTTCTACAGATCCTATAGTACTGTTTGAATATGAGCACAACGTCTGGTAATACACTAGAATGTGGAAAGCCCTAAGCTAAATTTTATAAAGAATTTGATACCTAAAAGTAATCAGAGCATTTGCTGGTATTTTCATACTATGTCATAGAATCATTGATTAGACTACTAAATAGTATACTTTTTTATATCATACTTACACCCAAACCATTAAACAGTATTATTAATAGCTACTGATGACGTATAAATGTAGCATCGGTATGTAAAAAAGATACAATTCATTTGCTTTTCTTTATAAAGGATGTGTACCTAGCACAAAAGTTAACATGTAAAAAAAAAGCAAGGTGCCACTAAAAAAATTATACGAGACAGATCCTCTTTCTTACCTTATCGTGTACTGGGGACAACATGTTTGATTCATGACAGGCTTGTACACATATTTTCCACTTCTAAAATTGAAAAATGTTGTTAATGTCTCATACGTTTCTCACATGTACCAAAGCAGACTAGTACAGAGGCACAAAATTAATTATGGTAAAAATCTGACCGATAACATAAAAACATATAGATGTAGTTACTCCTTAGAACTAAGCAATCTTGCAACACTGGCACAGCAAGGACAGAGCCCAGCCTTTCCTTTCCTAAACCTTTACGTACATACTCCAAGCCTCTTCACCTCAGTTACCCTCTTAGCATCACCTGCCATCCTTCCAGGCCTCAACCCACCACCAATCCTCAATACCACAAAGGCAATCAGAGAAAACTGCTCAGGATGTGGGGACCCTGCTGTGTGTCATAGCCTAGGATATCCACACTTGAGGGTTCCATGTGCACTAGGGCCACGAAGCCCAAAATTAACCCGATCCTTTCAAGGCCTTCTGGATCTTGGTTAATGGCAGAACCATGACATTATGGACTGAATTCTGTCCCCTCAAAATTCATATTTTGAAGCCCTACCCCCACTACCTCAGAATGGGACTATATTTGGAGAGAAGGCCTTTAAAGAGGTGACTAAGTTAAAATGACAGTTAACATAAGCCCTAATCCAATCTGAATGGTGTGCATATCAGAAAAAGAAACTGGGCATACAAAGAGACACCAGGCACCAGGGACATACATGCAAAGAGAAAGGGCCCCATGAGGCCACAGCAAGAAGGCAGCAATGTACAAACCAAAGAAGGGTCTCCAGAAAAGAAAGAAAGCCGAAGACACCTGGGTTTTGGAAATTTCAGCCTCCAGTACTGTGAGAATACGGATTCCTGTTGTTTAAGACACCCAGTCAGTGGTATTTTGTTACAGCCATCCAAGCAAACATACATGGGTTCGGTTCCTGAGCCAGAAACCTGGGAGTCATCTCCAGTTCCTCCCTTTAAGGCACCTCTATATCCCATCAGTAAGCTTTCTACTTCTAAACTGTACCTTGTATCCATCCCCTTTCGTCTATCTTCTAACCTACAGCCACTGATGATGACGGCATCATCGTGAGATGACGATTTCCTATCTGGACCCTACAGTGATCTTTAGAACCGGTCTTTCTGCCTTCAAGAACCACCCCCTCAAATACCTCTCTAAGATCTGAATGGTCGTTTCCAAAGCACAAATTCCATCACACTTCTGACATAAAAGCTTTCAATGGCTCCCCTTCCACCTTAAAAAAAAAGAGAAGTGCTTCATCATGGCATACAAAATCCTTCAACATCTGACCCAGATCTTCTTTCTGGGTCTCATGATTAAGTTTAAAGAAAGCTATGAAGTTTCATTTGTTGCGCTCAATCCCATATCTTTTGGGTAGTATTGGCACAAGGCCCTTAACACTGCTTATATTTACACAAAAACTTTATATACTCTAAAATTATCTATATAAAAATAATTACCAAAAAATCTTAGCCGTCAAAGGCAATGTGTAAACCTTAATGGAATTCTGATTCAAATAAACCAACTATAAAAAAGGGGCATTTTTGAGACTAGTAAAAACCTAATCAAAACTAAGTAACAGATGACATCAAGGAATTATTAATTTTGTAAAGTATGATAACGGTATTATAAATACATTAAAAAGGAAACAAGAATCCTCTCTTAGAAACGTGTCTATTATAGGTGTATTGACAGGATACCTAAATTGCTTTAAATTATTTTGTGGAGGAGGAGGGAGCACCTTAGCTGGTTCAAGCTGCTATAACAATATACCACAGAGGGAGTTGCTTATAAACACAACAACGTATTCCTCATAGTTCTGGAGGTTGGGAAGTCCAAGATCAAGGGTGTTGGCATATTTAATGTCTGATGAAGACAAGCTTCCCGGTTCATATATTTGTTGTAACCTCACATGGCAGAAGGGGCAAGAAAGGGAACTCTCTGGGGTCTCTTTTACAAGGGCACAAATCCCATTTGTGAGGGTCCCACCCTCTGACCTAATCACCTCCCAAAGGCCCACTTCCCAATACCATCATATCGGGGGTTAGGATTGAAAAGATGTACTTGGGGGTTGTGAGGGATGACACACGAACATTCACACCACCACAGGGAGCAAGGAGAGTTGATGAAACAAGACTGGCAAAACAAACGTTAACAACTGCCGAAGCCTGCTGATAGCTACATCAAGTTCATTAGAACATACTCTCTACATTTATGTAGGCTTGAAGTTCTCCTAATGAACATCTTTCTTTAATGTTTGTTTATTTTGGAGAGAAAGAGAGCACGTGCACCAGGGGGAGGGGCAGAAAGAGGGAGAGAGAGAATTCCAAGGAGGCTCCTCGCGGACTGTGCAAAGCCCGACACAGGACTCAATCCCACAACTGTAAGATCATGACCTGAGCCAAAATCAAGAGTCGGATGCTTAACGGACTGAGCTACCCAGGTGCTCCTAATAAATGCCTTTAAAAGAAGAGACAGCGGAATCACTACATAAAGAAATATAATTTAAAAACGTCTTGGGGCACCTGGGTGGCTCAGTCGGTTAAGCGTCCAACTTCGGCTCGGGTCATGATCTCACGGCTCATGAGTTGGAGCCCCACATCGGGCCCTGTGCTGACAGCTCAGAGCCCAGAGCCCGCTTTGGATTCTGTGTCTCCCTCACTCTCTGCTCCTCCCCCACTCACACTCTGTCTTTCCCTCTCTCAAAAACGAATAAACATTTAAAAAAAAAATGTCTTAAATCTTTTTCCAACAACAGGAAAACATTTCACAGGCAAACAACATTTTCTAGTTATAAGAAGAACCTGAGTAATAAGAGAAGCATTTTTGTATGAAGGAGCTTTACCTCCGCCATCCTCGGTCTATGAGATCCTGATAATCCTGTACGGTCATGGAGTGTGCCCACATGCCTGAAAAAGTAAGTGCCATGTACCAAGTTAATCATAGCAGGTTGAACTTTTTTTTTTAATTCAAAGCATTTTCTAAATGTGAATACTGAAGCAAAAAAAAAAATCTAGCTCACACTGGAAAAATGAAAGTTTGCACATACTTCACACTATGTGACATAACACACAACAAATGAAAAAAATTATTTACCTTAATCTTAAAAATCAAACAAATCAAAGTGATTACATTTAATTCCGAATTACTCTATAGTCTCTTTGACATCGTAAATTTAAGGTCCTCCCTGAGATCAGATTACACAACACCTTTAACCATAATAATATCCCCGATAATTTAATAAGCTGGTCCCCTCCAAAGAATTGGAAAGCAAATGTTTTCTTTTGCATTTAATTCTCATTGTTATGTTTTTAGCATAGTCTTGGACGTTGAAAATAGAACAAAAGTATACAGCAGTATTCCTTTTAAGTATAAAAACTGAAAGCAATCGAAATGCCCAGGAACAAAAAAGTGATTACAGAGGACATTATCAGTATGATGGAATAATTAATGATGCAGCCATGAAAAAACATTAAAAGGTATATCTGAATTAATGTTAATAGAAAAATAAGTGTTTCTCTCGTAAACAGCAAACTGCATCAGAAGTATGTAAAGACAGGGGTGCCTGGGTGGCTCAGTTGGTTGAGCGTCCGACTTTGGCTCAGGTCACGATCTCACGATTCGTGGGTTTGAGCCCCACATCGGGCTCTGTGCTGACAGCCTGGAGCCTGCTTCAGAATCTGTGTTGTCCACCCCCCCCTCCTCCCCTGCTTGCACTGTCTCTGTCACTCTCAAAAATAATATTAAAAAAATATTTTAAAAGGAAGTATGCAAAGACAGAGGTACGCTTGATAGCACAGGTTGTATTAAGAAACAGAAATGTCCAGAAGCCTTGCAGGTGCTCATTAACACTGAATTACTTTATGAGCCCCAATTTCATCATCTATAAAAATAGGAATAATAAAACCTACTTAATAGGTGCTATGCCCTATAGTAAAGATTATCATCAGAACTAAAATAAGTACGATGGAAATTTACAGGTGTCTCTTTAGGTGAAAACGCTGAAAACTGATTTCTTCCACAGAACTTTAAACAAAGGACATGTATATTAATCAACTTCCTCTTATTAAAGTTACTGGGAAAATAATGAATAATCTATGAATATGTTAATTTTAAACACACAATATAAAGTGCTTATTACACACATAGTATAGTCAGAATACCAAATTCTGAAAAAGATGAGGAGGAAATCTCTAAAACCCGAAAGCAATCACTGCCACCATTTGGTGTGTTTCTCCCTGGGTTTTCATCCTCCCAGAGATCCTGTCACACATGTCATTTGCATCCTGTTTTTCTCTGTCTAACCCTACGTTCTAAACATTTTTCTGCTTAGCTCTTCATAACCATCACTCCAAATGATTGCATTATATTACATTCTACTTCCTCTTACCCACAAGCATCTAATGAACAATTTCAACTAATGAGTAAACGGACACACCATAATCGTCCACATCATTGCCCTGCTGTAGGACATTTATACATATTTTTAACGGAAACTACCTAAATGTATATCTTCATAGCTATCCCATTTGCCACCATGACGCACTATTTCTTAAAATAAAAGATCCTATGTTTGCCAATGCACGACACAGCAGGTAATATAAGCATATTGTTTTTGTTTACAAACAAATCTTCCGGAAGAAACCTGAACCATGATGGGGAAAAAAGAAAAAACAAAACAAAACTGTGAGCTGGCTTTGTTGTTCTGGGGGTGGGTGGAGGAACGATAAGGCATATGAACAAGCACCTGGTAAAATTTTCAAACGCATTAACACGAACAGGCTCCCTTGCCAGCAGCGTCTACGGTCCGTCACCGGCGTCTCCAGACGCATTTTATCCAGATGCCCCCGCCCACATATGCACACACGTCTCCCTGTACACAAACAGCCCACCCGACACGCCGCATTCTGCACTTCAAACCGGGGATGATCCCACAGCAGTATCAGCACTCAGAGGCCCGCCCCGGCGGAACTGACCACTCGGCAATGCTCCCCGGCATGGCTTGCTTGCTGTCACATATTTAACCCTGTCCTACTGGTGGATGACGGACACCGGTTTCCACACTTTGGACTGCGGCGAGACCATCATCATCCCGCACTTCCGACCACCTGTGTGAAGGCTAAGCACCCAGATGCTTCCCTGATGAATCAGAGCGGAGATTCGTTTTTAATTGTGACAGCTATGGCCCTCCCCGGCGAGCAGCGTTCCGCAACACCCTCCTCGAGACAGGATCTGGCCGGGGGCTCCCGCCGCCGCGCGTCCCTGGGGGCCGAGAGCGCCGAGACCCCCCACCCCCGAGGCCGCCGGCCGGTCGGCCGGCCGCGGAAACCCGAGGCCGCGACGCCCTCCCCCACCCGCCGGCCCGCTCACCGTTGGAGCGACTGCCCGACTCATTCTTGCAATAGCCGCAGCGGTAGGAGTCCTCGCCCTCGAAATACTCCACGATGCTGGGCGAAAGAGCTGCCCAGGAAGCCATGGCCCCGGCCCTCCAAGCGCGACGCCGCTCGACCCAGCCCCGCCGCCGCCACCCCACAATGCCGCGCGCCGCTCGGGAGTCCCCGAGGCGCGCGCGAAGCTGCTCGGGCGCCCGCAGGCCAGGTTCCCCGGGAACCCCGCACGCTGACGCCGCCCGCGCCATCTTGACCGAGGGCAGCCGTCCGCTATTTCCGTTCCTTCTCCGACCTGGACCGCCATCTTCAGTGAGGGTGAGGAGGAGAGAGGAGCGCGAAGGGAAACAGTCTGGGAAGAAACGAGTGGGAGAGGGACGCGGGAATTGGGGCGCCGGGCCTGTGCGCTCCCGGGCCGGGGACTGGCGCGGGGCGCGGCGGGCGGTGCGGGGATTGGACGCCAGGCGGCCACGCCAGCCCCGTCCGTGGGGACACTCACCGCAGGACACCTTGCCCTCCTCGGAGTCGCAGTAGCCGCAGTGGTAGCCGGCCTTGAGCCCCTTGTACTCCACCACCGAGGCCATGGCCGCCTCCAGGGTCCGCCGAGGCCGGCCACGCCTCTCGGCGCCCCGGGGCCGACCTCGGCGGAGCGCGGGGGCCCGCGGCGGGGAGGAGTGGAGGACGAGGTCTGGCGGTTGCGTCCCAGCGCCCCGACCCGCGCCCCTAACGCCTCCTCGGGGTCCCGGTCCGTGTTGGGGCCGGGGTCTCCGGAGATGTTAGCGAAAGTGGTAGTCGTGCCCCTCGAGCCCCGACTTAGGGCCGGATCTTTGCATAATTCCTCGCCAAGCATTCCTACAACCGCGCATCTTCAGCTCCGTTTTACAGATGGGGAAACTGAGGGCCGGAGGTTGTGACTCAGTCATTTCCTGCAGGTCTCAGTTTAAAAGTTACCGTCTCGGGCCGCCCTGACCACCATATGGGTAGCCAACTCCAGCTTCCAAACGAGCACGTACTCACTTAAGTGCCAAAATAGAACAAGTATACTCGCATGTGTTCTGTGAATAGCTGTCGTGGGTGAATTGAAGACACTTAATGTTTTTAAAGCAAACAACTGCCAGAGCCAGTATGTGCCTTGTGCTGCTATCAGCCCATTGCCTATAACTTTTAAAGAGAAACTGACAAATCTAGATTTTTTTAGGTATTATTTTAAAAGTTTTTCTTAACTGTGCAGGGCAACCAAAACATTTATGTAGATTGAATTCAGCCCGTGGACTTCCAATTTGCAACCCCTATTTTAAGAGGATGCTGTAACAGTCTGGGGCAAAGTATAAAAATGAGTACCTCCAACAAGGTAATTCTCCTTAATATTTGTGTGCACAGATAATTTAAGCCTGTTTGTACAGTTTTCCTAGTCAACAATAAAACATTATCTTTTTGTAGTGTTTTGAAAAGTGAAATCGTGGGGCGCCTGGGTGTATCAGTAGGGCTTAAGCGGCCAACTTGCATTCAGGTCGTGATCTCCCGGTTCTTGACCTGTGAGCTGGACCCAGGTGATTGGAGGTGCCTCACCTGTTCTCCTCCTTGGTTCCCACTTGCCTTTCACACTTCCAGGGGCTGCTTCGAGGTTATAGCCTTGAGATCATGATGAGAACACCTGCACAGTATTCTCGGCTGAACCCAATTAAGGCCTCTCTCTATACAGACTTTTTAGATATGGTTGGTGGGTGTGTGGATCCATTCTTCCTGTTGCTGCCCAAGCAAGCCTCATATGTGAGTTCCCTTTACTTATTAAAACTGCCACCTACCAACCTGGAATGGCCTACCTCTTCCTTTGGTCTGTCCCTGCCCTCCACGTATACCCTCTTATGTCTGTTACTAGTTGTAAGATCTTGAGAGGTTATTTACCCTGGTCTTCATTTCCTATGTTGTGAAGTTACTGGAAGGATTAAATGAGTTATCACATATACCTAGGACATTAGCATTGTAGCTCGAGGCTGGCATTCCCTGCTTGGGATGAGGTTGGGACAAAGGGACAGAAGTCAATTGGTAGAGGGCTATAAGAAAAGCAGGAAGCCTCCTGGCTTCCTGCTCTCTGTCTGAGCATGGCATTCTGCTCTCTGTTTTGTCCACCGGACTTTACTTCAAAATGAGAGTCCGGCTGGAAAAGGCCCGTGAATAGAGCCAAATCTGCCGTAATAGACAAAATGAATGAGGTCTGTCTTAATGGTGCTGATAGGTAGCAAGGGACCTTCAAGTTTAAGGAGCTGGAGGAACTGGAGAAACCCAGAGGGGCCCTAAGAACCTCCTATGTGCTACACCGCTATCCCTTGGGTTTTTTCCCATTGTGTAGGCACAAGTGATGCTTAGTAATGTAGTAGGTCACTGGGCTACCAAGAAACATCTTCACCTTAAGCAAGTGTGTATCCAGCACAGTAGACGTTGGGTTCAAGAATGTGGAAACTGACCTTCAAAGTTTACCTGTTTCTCCAAGCTTCATAATTTCACTTTATTTTAACGTTTATCTCTGAGAGTGAGAGAGATCGCAATCAGGGGAGGGGCCAAGAGAGAGGGAGACACAGAACCTGAAGCAATTCTGGGTTTTCGATGTCTTTTCGATGACCTTCCGCAACAGAGGGAGGAAGGTGATAAAAATAAAATTGTGAAAAAGAGATCAACAAAGACTCTAGGGCAGTGGTTCCTAGATGTCTTTATTTTGCTGAAAGAGAAAATGAGTTTTCATCTTCCAGGCCCAAGTGAGAAAAATAACTTCAGCTTCAGTCCCCCCCCCCTTTTTTTAATGTTTATTTATTTTGAGAGAGAGAAAGAGCACCAGTGAGTGAGAGAGGAGCGGGGGGGGGGGGGGGGGGAGAATCCCAAGGAGGCTCCATGATGACCACGCAGAGCCCAACAAGGGGCTTGATCTCATGAATCATGAGATCATGACCTGAGCTGAAATCAAGAGTTGGATGCTTAACCAACTGAGCCACCCAGGTGCCCCCAGCTCCCCCTTTTTGTGGGGAGACATGGGAAGAAGACATTATTGGAATGTTCCCTTACGTATGAAATTGCAAGCGATAGGTAGTTGTCTTTTAATTTTCTTGTTTAATGGAATGAAATGCTGGCAACACTAGCTGTGAGCCCATTAATGTTTTTTTTTTATGTCACCAAGTTTTTTATGTCACTAAGTGAGCCTGCAGAGTGGAAGAGGGAGGCCCTGATGATGTCAAGGAATCTGCATGGGCTAGGCCCAATTCATGTTTCTTGAATTGTGGAACACATTCCTCTTTCTTCTGAAAAGAGTGAGTTGATGGGGCCTAAGTAAAGTCAGGGAAAAAAGAGTAAAATACAGATAACCGGAGGCAGAGAAGAGGGGCACTCTAGGAGGAGGTGGCTAGGAACACCAGGGGTCTCAGGTGCTGGCATGGTAGCCACCTAGAAGATGCTTTCCTCTGTGGGCCACTCACTGTCAAGAGGCCTCAGATTGGACATTTCCCTCCACTGTACAGACATGTACTCTCCAATGTACTTTCCAATTTGGTAGTGTGAAAATTAATAAAAGAAACTGTTTACAATAGGGTTGGGGGAGGGGCACCTGGGTGGCTCAGTCAGTTAAGCATCTGACTTTGACTCGGGTCATGATCTCACCGTTCAGGAGTTCAAGCCCCGCATCAGGCTCTATGCGGACAGCTGAGCCTGGAGCCTGCTTCGGATTCTGTCTCCCTCTCTCTCTGCCCTTCCCCCGCTTGTGCTAAACTCTCTCTTTCAAAAATAAACTTGAAAAAAGAAGGGGCGCCTGAGTGGCTCAGTCAGTTAAGCGTCTGACTTCAGCTCAGGTCATGATCTCGCAGTTTGTGAGTTCAAGCCCCCTATTGGGCTCCGTGCTGACAGCTTGAAGCCTGGAGCCTGCTTTGGATTCTGTGTCTCCCTCCCTCTCTGCCCCTCCCCCACCCACACTCTGTCTCTCTCTCTCACTCTCAAAAATAAATAAACACTAAAAAAAATTATTTTAATGCAGAAAATCAAAGACCAACAAAACTCTTGAAAAAGCCAGAGGAAAGAAAACCCTTGCTAATAGAAGAGCAAAATAAGATTTACATCAGACTTTTCTTTAGAAAGCATGTAATAAGAGAGGGAAGTGGGGGGGAATAAGTGGGGGGGAAACGCCAACCTACAGTTCTATGCGCAGTGAAATTATTCTGCAAAAGTGAAATAGAAGTACAGGCATACCTTGGAGATGCTGTGGTTCAGTTCCAGACCACTGCAGTAAAGCAAGTACCATGATAAAGCAAGCCAAATGGATGTTTTGGCACGTAAAAGTTAAAGTGCAATGGCATCATGTCTAAAAAAAGTACACTAATTTAAAATACTTTATTACTAAAAATGCTAACCGTCATCTGAGCTCTCAGCCAGTCATAATCACTGATCATGGACCACCATAATAAGTATCATAATGAAAAATTTGAAACACCACAAGATTTACCAAAATGTGACACACAGACATGAAGTGAGAAAATATCATTGGAAAAGTATTGCCAACAAATTTGCACGATGCAGGATTGCCACAAATCTTCCGTTGGTAAAACACAGTATCTGCAAAGCACAGTAAGGTGAAGTGTAATAAAATGAAGTACTCCTGTAAAGGCTCCTCAAACAAAAATGGAGGGTGTCTGTCACCAGTAAACCTGATTGGCAAGAAATGTTAAAGAAGATTCTTAAGGAAAATAATTCAGAAACCAATCCACATAAAAAAAGCATTTGGAGAAGGAATAAATGGAGATAAAATCAAATGTTTCATTTTTAAAAATTTAATTGCTTGTGGGCTGCTGGGTGGCTCTGTTGGTTGAGCATCTGACTTCAGCATAGGTCATGATCTCACGGTTTGTGGGTTCAAGGCCCACGTCAGGCTCTGTGCTGATAGCTCAGAGCCTGGAGCCTGCCTCTGATTCTGTGTCTCCCTCTCTCTCTGCCCCTCCCCTTCTTGCATTCTGTCACTCTCTCAAAAATAAACATTAAAATTTTTTTTTAATTTAATTGCTCTAACAGATAATAGACAGTTCAAAATAATAATAACTTGTATAGGGTAATTTTACAAGTTTATGGGTAAGTTGAGTAAGTGACAGCAATGTTAGAATGGATGGGAGGGAGGAATTGGAAATACTCGTATAAGGTACTTGCACTGCCTGTGAAGTGGTGTAGTATTCTTTGAAAGAGAAGTTGGATTAGTTGTAAGTGTATAATGCAAATTCAAGGACAACCACTTAGAAAAGAAAAAAAAAGTGCTAGGCTGAGAGAGGAGAAAAACATAGAATCATGAAATGAATAATTTAAACCAGAGAAGGCAGGAAAAGACTGGAGGACAGAAAGAAAAAGACAGAAAGAAAGAAAGAAACAAAGAAACCGAGAACAAGAGCAACGAATAGAAAACAATAACAAATATAGTAGGTATTAATCCAGTTGTATCAATAATTACTTTAAATGTCAATGGTCTAAATACACCAATTAAAAGACAAACTGTCAGACTGGATAAAAAAAATAAGACCCAACTATATGTTATCTACCGAAAAAAACACTTGAAATGTGAAAGCAAAGATAGATTAAAAGTAAAGGGATGAATAAAGATATACTATTGTTAACACTAGTCAAAAACTGGAGTAGCTACATTAATTTCAGCAAAGTAAATTTCAGAGCAAGGAAAGTC